GGGGGGGGGGGGGTATCCGGGTAGACCGCCTACACCTAGCTTTTGTAAAAGTTTCATTCACTTGAACTTTTTAAGAATGTTGGTAAATTTATTCCTTTTTAATTTTTTTAAATTTAGCATCTGGAACCCTGGGTTTTTTATATTTATGTCACTGAAATGAATTCAGAGCCATGCAGTTACCATCTCACCAAGTATTTGATTATGAATTAAATTAATTTGATTTAACTAGAGGCTTTTATTTAACATTTAATAAATGATTGTTTTAAAATGGTGCTAAAACAGAGTAAGAATATGATTTGCTATAACAAGTGTGCTATATTTTTTTCTTTTCTTTTTTCATAACAGTGTTTGTAAGTCACAGTCAGCGTACTCATTCATGTGGGGAGTTGCGCGCCAGTCATGTGGGGCAAGACGTGGTGCTGTGTGGATGGCTCATGCATGAGCGTGCACTGCAGTTTATAACTCTTAAAGATGCTCATGGAGTGACACAGTTCATAGTTCCAGATAATAAGGTAGGTGGTGTTTGTTAAGTGCTGGCTTGCTTTGATTTTTAAAAAAATCAAGATTTATATATATAAAAATTTATTTACTGATAGATTAAGTGATCGAAAGTAATCTATCAGGCCATAATGTTACTATATACATTAATATTGAAAAAAAAACCATTTTGATGACATACTGCATAAATGGATAAAATGAATATTGCAGTAACTGTAAGAATAAACTCCACACATATTGGTATATTATATCACTCATCTTTTTTTTTTTCCTTTGTCTCAGCGAGATACACTCTGTGAGGTTGTGAAGGGTTTGAAGTTTGAGTCAGTTTTGCAAGTGAAAGGAAAAGTAATAAGACGCCCAGAAGGACAAGAAAACCCAGTAAGATTTAATTATAATGAGTCATAAGTGAATGTTACACAGTCAGCATTATTGCTTCAATCAGTAGGAAATGGATATAAAACAAGAACGGATGGAAGCTGTCTTCTGGAAGATGTTCAGAATTTTTCAAGTTTACATTGATGAGCATCTAAATTTTTCTGGTTGAAGACGATCGAAAATGGAGAATGGATCAACAAAGATGATTTGTAAGACTGTTAGAAAATATCTCTGGGTCTGCCCCTTTAAAATTTAGACACTAATGCACTGAAGATTGTAGAAACTTTTCATGAGGTAGTTTTTTTCTTTTCATTAGGTAATAATGTTATTGTGTGTCATGTGCATCAAAGTTTATTATTTAAAATAGCTCATCTTTATTATTATTATTATTATTATTATTATTATTATTATTATTATTATTACACTCAGAAAATGCCCACTGGAGACATTGAAGTTGAAATAGAAGACCTGAAGGTGTTAAATCCAAGTCTTGCTGAATTACCATTCAAAACAAGAGATTATGAAGAAGTAAGTATGGTAATTCCTTACTAGATTTAAACAGGATTCATTTTTCCCACAGGCACATACAAATGGAAATAGTTAAAATTTTGTGGAGGTTGTAGAAATTAAGTTTGATACATGTCAAATAGCATGTTGTTGTCAATGACAAGTGTTTATAAGACTTTACCATATGAAGCATAGTACCATAGTACACTAAATTTTGCATTTGAGTCATCTCACTTTTCTCTCTTTATAATTAAGTCAGAGAAATATTATATGTTTTTTCTAGATCACAGAGAATGTTCGTTTGCAGTACCGATATTTAGATATAAGACATTACAAAATGCAAAAGAATCTTCGCATTCGATCCAACATGGTCATGAAAATGAGAGAATTCCTGTGCAATAAACTAGGTAATAAAGTAAATGTACCACAGAAAAGAAAAGAAAGTGGATTAGTATAGACATTTGTTCATACTGCATGCAAATTACAAAATTGGTCATTGTTTTGCGACTTATTGAAACTGTAAGGAGGAGTAGATACGAAAAAATAACGTTTCAAATAATTTTTTCCAATCAGATATGGTATGCTTATACTTTTTAAACACAGATAGTTGTATTGATGCAGATTGGTATATAATAGGTAACATTGGAAGAATATTAAAAATTTGTGTCAATATTTTGTGTGTTCAGTCTCATCAAATGTAATTTAACTTTCAATTTAGTAAATCAAACTTGACATTGTAAAACTTGTAATGACCAAAAAGATTTATGTGTTTTCAGGTTTTGTAGATGTAGAAACTCCCACATTGTTCAGAAGAACACCAGGGGTACGTATTAACATCTTTTTTTTGGGTGGGGGGGTGGGGAGGATAATATCTATAGCAGTAACTTTTTTCTGCGTGTGCTATTACATTAAATTTTTTATATCTGGTCTAAAGACATATTTAAATGTTATTCTTCCATTATTTTTAATTATTTTGATATTTTGATATAATTCAGGGAGCAAGAGAATTTGTTGTACCTACAAAAATACCTGGGAAATTTTACTGTCTTCCACAAAGTCCACAACAGGTGAGATATGTGTGCGTGTAAACGCATGTATGAGTGTACGTGCATGTGTGAATTTGTGTATGTGTTTGTGTGTACATGTATCTTTTATGTGTGCATATATGTATGGCTGTTCCTGTGTGTGTGTATATAGCGTCCAATATCTTAACAAACGCAGGTTGTCTGTTTGAGCCTTTATTGATCCACTACAATAAGATACGTTCTGAAATAATAATAAATAAAGATACTTAACATCTATACTTCATGATCCTTTTCAATATGACTTACTTATATAATGACTGAATGTCACTGTTATTAAATCAATTTCTTTTATAAGTGCATTACAAAGTTAAGAAGAAACAAATTAATTCCAAAATTAAATGATAACATACATAAACTAGCTACTCACTAGACTTGTCTAGCCTCCACTTGTGAAACATGACAAAATACCGTATAACCTTCGTCTGCTGACACTGTAATAAATATAAAACAACTTCATGAAATTATGTAGCTAGCTGAGATAAACATACTCAATATCTAAGGAAAGAAAATAAACGTAAACTAACAGGCCTGACAAAGTTTGTTTGTTAACCACGCCTAATACATTCATGCATTATAACACGTGTTCTTAAAATGCCTTTACATTACTTGCAAATTTATATGCTAATTACGTAATGAGCTATAAAATAGGTCTAATAACCAAGCAACATATATAAAATGAGTTTTAAGAAAGGACCGGGCAAATACATACTGTACTTATTTGTCTTTTTTCCTATTTTCTCTTCATACGTGCGAGTGTTGCGTCCTCCGTGAATCTGAACGTGTGCACCTCTCCCAACTTACGAATCTCTTTCTTCTAAAGATCATTTTCTCAACCAAATACATAGCAATTGCACCGAATGCAGTATGTGAGACTACATGGTAATTACTTTCCCTTAAACACGGGATATAGAATTCTAGCCACTACAGTGTATGTACATGTGTTTGTGTTTGAGAGAGAAAGAGAAAGAAAGAGATAAAACTTCGGAAATATCTTTGCAATTTACAACAAAGATATTCAGTTTTAGAAGACAAGATTTTGGTTGGAAGTCACAAAAATGTATTAGAAAGGAAAATCCTAGAGTACACATAAAGAATCTTTT